CACCGCTTAGGTCACCCTGCTCTCCCGCGTCTGCGTCACATGTCCCAGCACGGTCTTGTCTTAGGTCTCCCCGCGTCGCTCCCTGCCCTTCCTCCCTCGACTGCGCCACCGTGCACGCCTTGCGTCGAGGGTCGGCTCCGCCGTGCTCCTCACTCCTCCTCGCTGCGTCCTGCTACTGCCCCCCTTCAGACCCTGCACTTGGACGTTTGGGGCCCTGCCCCCGTCCCCGGACCGCGCGGTGAGCGCTACTTCCTTGTGCTCGTTGACGACTACACGCGCTACACCACGGTGTTTCCCCTGGAGCGGAAGGCCGACGTGCCCGACGTTCTTCTCCCGTGGGTTGTAGCTGCGCGTCTCCACCGCGGTCTCCCCGTGTTGTGTCTCCACTCCGACCGTGGCGGCGAGTTCGCCTCTGGTCGGCTTGGACAGTTCTGTCGTGCGGAGGGCATCACCCAGTCGTACACGTTGCCGGACTCGCCACAGCAGAATGGGGTTGCTGAGCGCCGCATCGGCTTGGTCATGGAGGTCGCCCGTACCTCCATGATCCATGCCGATGCCCCCCATTTTCTGTGGCCGTTCGCTGTTCGCTACGCGGCTCACCAGCTTAACCTGTGGCCACGCTCCCAGCGGCCGCAGGTTTCGCCGACCCTCCTTTGGACCGGGTCCCCCGGTGACGCGTCTGCGTTCCACGTCTGGGGCTGCCTTGCTCACGTTCGTGCCTCTGGCACGGACAAGCTCACTGCCCGCACTGTCCCCTGTGTCTTCCTCGGTTTCCCCCTGGACTCGTCTGACTGGCTTTTCTACCACCCGCCGTCTCACCGCTTCCTCCACTCTCGTGACGTCACCTTTGACGAGTCCGTCTCCTTCTACCGCCGCTTCCCTCACCGAGGTCTCCCAGTTGCCCCCCCCCTTTTCCTTGCTCCCTCTCCCCCGGTAGCCCCTGCCCCTCTCCCGCCTCGTCCTGCCCCGTCTGGTGTCTCCCACGTCACTCCCCTCCCGTCGGTTGTCCCCGTTGAGGAGTCTGCTGACTCTGGTGGTACCCCCGGTCCGTCCTTGCCGCGTCCCCCTTCCCCAGTGCCTCCGCCCCCACTGTCGCAGTCGCCGACCCCGCTGCCGCCGCCGTCGCCGTCGCCGCCGCAGCCGTCGCCGCTATCGCCGCCACTGCCGCCGCTGCTCTCGGCCCCTGGGGGTGCTGGTGTGGAGGAGGGTGTTCGTCCTGCGGCTTCTGGGGGTGCCGCTGGTGTTGGAGGGGGTTCTCGCTCTTGGGGTGTTGGTTCTGGGGGTGCTGCTGTTGAGTGTTCTGCCGACGGTCGTTCTGCCTCTGCTGGTCCGAGAGTTCCGGCCCAGCCGTCGTCGCCGCCACAGCAGCCGTCGCCGCCGGTTTCCGCTCTCCGCCTGCTCGGCCTTCCCTCCCCGGACCGCGCGCCGGTGTCTCCCCCACCGCCTCCTGACCTCCCTGTCTACGGTCCTGTGTTCCCGCCGCCAGACTCGTCTCCGGCCCGTCTTCCTCCTCGTTCCCCTCCTGTGTCTCCTCCGCTGTCCCCTGACCCTACCCCTCCGTCTCACGTTTGGGCTCGCCGTCCCTCCCGTGCTCGTCCCGTCTCTCCTGTCCTGCCCACCCACCCTATGTTGCTCCGTTCCCACTCGTCTCGTCCTCCCCTCCTCCCGTCCCCTCCTCCCTCGTCCCTTGCTGTTGCACCTCCTCCGTTCTCTGACTACCTCCGTGCTGCTCGTCCCCTTGTCCCTCGGGTCCTTGCCTCTCTTGTTACCGACCCTGCTGTTCCTGTCTCGCGCCTTGACGCGCTTGTCGCTGCTGTCGCTGACTTCGCTTCTACCCGCCGCCTTGACTACGCTACCGCTCTGGTCTCTGACCCTGCCCGTCCTCTGTCCGTCGGGGGTGCTCCTGCCCTTGGCAGTGACGTCCTAGAGGACAGGCAGTACGAGCTGGCTTTCCTTTCCGAGGCTGCTCCCCATCTCTGCTCCATGCTGTTAGTCCCTGAGGGTGACCCAGACGCCTTCGACATCCCGACCCCTCGCACCTACGCTGAGGCCACCTCGGGACCTTGGGCCTCTCAGTGGATAGCTGCCATGGAGCAGGAGATGGCATCTTGGAGATCCACCGGCACTTACGTCGACGCAGTTCCCCCGCCTGGGGTGAACGTAGTCGATGGTCGGTGGCTCTTCAAGGTGAAGCGCCCCCCTGGAGAGCCGCCTGTCTTCAAGGCGCGCTACGTGGCCAGAGGTTTCAGTCAGCGCGAGGGGGTTGACTTCTTCCAGACCTTCGCCCCGACCCCGAAGATGACCACTCTTCGGGCGCTGCTACACGTAGCAGCACAGCGTGACTACGAGCTTCACTCTCTCGACTTCTCTACTGCCTTTCTTCAGGGCAGCCTACACGAGCAGGTCTACCTGCGCCGACCACAGGGCTTCACTGGTACCTTCCCTCCTGGGACCCAGTGGCTTCTCAGGCGCCCGGTCTACGGCCTGCGTCAGGCTCCCCGCGAGTGGCACGACACGCTACGTGCCACGTTAGCAGACCTGCAGTTCTTTCCGTCCTCTGCTGACCCTTCACTGTTTGTGCGTTCCGGCCAGACTCCGTTCTACATCCTTGTCTACGTAGACGACCTGGTCTTCGCTACTCCTGACAGGGACGCACTGGCCTCTGTGAAGGCTGAGCTGCTGAAGAGACACACCTGCACTGACCTTGGAGAGCTGCGTCGCTATCTTGGCCTGCAGATCTCTAGGGACAGAGCAGCACGCACCATCACTCTGACCCAGTCACACTTGGTGCGTCAGGTCCTTCAGAGGTTCGGTCTTCAGTTCTCCTCCGCACAGCCCACACCTCTACCCGTAGACCATGGGCTCTCTGCTCCCGTTCCTGAGGAGCCAGTAGAGCCCAGTGGCCCCTACGCAGAGCTGGTGGGTTGCCTCATGTACCTGATGACTTGCACTCGCCCAGATCTCGCATACCCTCTCAGCATCCTGGCTCGCTTTGTGGCTACAGGCAGACACCGACCTCAGCACTGGTCTGCCGCTAAGAGGGTTTTGCGTTATCTTGCTAGTACATCAGGCATGGGGTTAGTGCTAGGAGGACGCAGGCCAGTGGTCCTTACTGGGCACACAGACGCTTCTTGGGCAGACGACGCTGAGACGCTCAGGTCGTCGCAGGGCTACTGTTTCAGCCTTGGTTCGGGTGCTATCTCTTGGAGATCCACTCGCTCGTCGTCTGTGGCTCAGTCTAGCTGTGAGGCTGAGATCTACGCTGGTGCCATGGCGGCACAGGAGCTCCGCTGGCTGACCTTCTTGCTCACAGACTTAGGTGAGCGGCCTAGCTCTGCCCCGGTCCTGTACGCTGACAACAGGGCCATGATACTCCTGTGTCAGGAGCCTCGGCTTGAGGGCAGAGCGAAGCATATCCAGCTGCGGTACTTCCTCCTGCGCGAGCTACAGCAGCGCCGCCAGGCCCGCGTAGTTCACTTGGCCTCAGGTGCCAACACAGCTGATATCTTTACTAAGGCGCTTGCGCCTAAAGATCATCAGCGGCACTGTGTACAGCTTGGTCTTGTTCCTATAGCTGCTCCCCTGTTAGGATCCTGATTGTGTACTCTCTATTATATATGCTTGTCAGACTGGCCTTGTGGCCTTACCTCCAGTGGCTGGACTAGTAGTGCCACCCTGGCTTGCTTCAGTTTTGGTTGTATTCTTGCTGACTGGTCTCCAGACCCCTGCCTCAGTGGTTGGACTAGTAGTGCCGCCCTGAGCTGTTTGCTTCTTGTTTAGTTTCACCCCTTGTCTAGCCTAGGGGGTGTGTCAACTTATACATATTATCTATGTAGAAGTTATAGGCGAGACTGAGGTATGCTTCTAGTGAGTACAACCAACTAGTATTTGTTCTAGGTTTCCACCTCTAGTAAATCATTCGTTTCTACGTTAACAATTTTACCCTGATATCCTGAGGCCTGGTAGTGCCGCCCTGAGCTGCTTGTTTAGGACATTCCCCTATGCAGTCTAGGGGGTGTGTCAAACATGTGTATTTGTCATGTTTGTATAGATTGTATAGGGTAGCCTCTTAGAGGGTACAACACTTAGGTATATCTGTGTGTACTTCTCTATCTCTATCTCTTTATCTCTGATTTTGGGCTGAAAACGATTACCTGGTATCCCAGACTGGTAAAAAAATTGCTTTCAGCCAGTCTGATGGTATTTGCAATGCAGGCACTGGCGGAATGATAGGGGAGACAATGTTCACCACACCACAACACCATGCATACAGCTGTACGTACATGCCCTATATGGCATGGGATGGCATGTACCCATCACATGCACACACACACACATGCATAAATGCACCCATGCACACATACACATGGATGCCACATGCATACATGCACACATAGACATCCACAGATGTACTCACACACATACATACACCCACACACGCACAAAGTCGCACACATATACACACTGCCGAGTAGACACACCACACTAGTGTCCTCCTCACACTCATATGAAAGGTGGTGGAAGGTAGATCCCTGTAGTAAAAGCGTTCGCTGGAAGACTTGCACACATAATCTTCCAGCGAACGCTTCTACTACAGGATCTACCTACCACCAATGACCAAGAGCATGCATGTTACACATGCATGCAAATATTCACATGCATGCAAAATATACACATGCATGCTGGCATGTGAATGAATGCATGCATACATGGATGACTGACATGTGAATGCACATATGCATGCATGAGCTGACGTGTCAATATTAACATGCGTGCATGCATGCACGGATGAACTGGCATGTGAATGCATGTATGTATGCATGCATGCATGCATGCATTAACTGATATGTAAATGTTGCATGCATTCACAAGCTGACACATGCATCCATCCACCCATCAACCCATCCCTCACATTCCTTGTTACCAATTCCCACCTCCTCACCAGATCCTCCCAAACCCGTAATAACTAGAAGCGAAACGGAAGAATACAGTAGCGAAACCGGGCTACATAAACTTTATTGCAGTTAATCGAGTCAAAGGGAAAATGCTGCACATGGAGGCACGACTATAAACAGCAAACCTCCGATCGATCAGGACCGAGCAGCAGGAATAAGGGATGCCGAAATGAGAAGCAAAAGGAGAAAAGAGAAGCTCTAGAAGCATGCTGTGGATGTCATTTTTTAGCATCATGGCTCCCAATTCCCGAATTGACTTACAAAACGTCGTCAGAAGAGCCACAACAACTCTCCTCCCTCCCTCCCTACCACACACAACACCGCTCCTCCGAAAACCTAATGCGACCTTCCACGAATCACCAGGGAGCAAAATCCCCCAGTTCGGCTCGCCTTGGCCCTTCGTCGCCCATCGCCTCCCTGCACGCTCAAGTCTCACCGTCTCACCCGGTGACACATCAGCCACTAAATGTCAGCCAATCATCTTCCTTCTTATCTGCGCTATTTCCGCACCGCTGCTGCCAGCCCACATGTTAATATAACGAGGATTCGAAAGTCAAGCGCCCAACCGTCAAAGTACGACATGCACGGTTGGTGATGTGATTAAAACGAAGCTACAGTGCTACCTGTCCACACCCGTAGAAGCTCCTCCCCACCATTCCTCTATTCTACTCTCCGCTGCTCACCAAGACCCTCCTCCTCCTCCTTAGGCGAAAGCTCCGGCGGAGTTTCGTCAGGGCTGTCGCGCCTCGCGTTGTTACTATCGCTGTCCCTGTTACCGCCACCGTTACCTTTACCGTTACCGCTACCGTTACTGTTACTGTTACTGTTACGGTTACTGCTGCTGCTGGCGATGTTACCGCTCCTGCCTGCTACACCCTCCACGCTTTCTACACTCCAGTCGTTCACTGTAGACGCGACCAACTCCTCTAACGCGCTCGACAGAACCTTCGCCTCGCACCGCAGATTCGCCCACTGCTGCGACCGCCGCGCCAGCTCGCGACTCGGCACGTGCGCGCCGCTCGCCGAGTACCCGGGCCGCGTGCGATGCGGTGAGCTGTGGGAAGACCCGGCCGGCGACTGCGACAGATCCGGCGTCCGCGGAGATCGCGGCGGCAAGCGCGGGGAGCAGAGCGACGGGCTGCCGATTGGAAAGCCGTCGCTCGTTCGACACCGCGGATAGATCCCCATCGTCGATCCTGCTGCTGCTGCTCCTCCTGCTGCTGCTGCTGCTGCTGCTGTTGTTCCCGAGGACGGAACTGACTGGCTTGTCTGAACGGACTGTCCCGGTTGACGCGGTACTTGGTTCTGCTGCTGCTGCTGCTGCTGGTGCTGCTGTAGGGAGAGCAACTGCGCGAGCGCACGTGCTTCCTCCTCCCCCGAAGTTCGGCGGAACCAGAGGCGCGAGGGGGAGTCGTCCCCCGTCACCCGCACGTGAAGGTCCCCGCGCGGGGCTTTGGAGGGGGAGGGGGAAGTTTCTGGGGAAACTCGCGCGTGGGGATCCCCGCGCGGGGCTTTGCAGGGGGAGGCGTCCCCCGCCACCCGCAATTGCAGGTCGCGGGGGGCTCTGGTGGGGGGAGAGATAGCGTCCCCCAGCTTGAAACGCGGCGAGATCTGCGGCGGGATTTGCGGCGAGATCTGCGGCGGGATTTGCGGCGAGATCTGCGGCGGCTCGAAACGGGACTTGGTGTCACCCAGCTTGAAATGCGGCTCGACCACGGCCGGCGAGGCCTCGAGCTCCCCGTGCATGTGTTACCGGGTTTCGTGCGAATCGACGAGCCTCGAAAAAGAGTTACCACCTTCCGTGCGAAAGAAACGTGCGAAACGGGTTACTAGCTTCAGAGCGGAAAGACGTGCGAGACGATGCGATAGTATGCGACAGTAAGCGATAGTAGCTGACTCCGCGGTGACGCAGACGCTGACGAGCGAGATGCGGGGAGTGCTGGTAAACCGGCGAACGGAAGCACTCCTGCTTTTCTGTAGGGGAACGGAAACTATAACCTCCTAAGCTCAAGCTCAAGCCCGCTGCGCTATCAGTAGGAATCTTCTCTAGCGTTTTGGCTACTAGCAGAAGTTTTTGGCTGACGTACTACTTCGGCTGGTTACAATGACCAACGGCATGGTAGGGAACGGTGACCATCGACGCCTGTAAGCCAGCACGCTGGAACGTCGGCCATAGAGAAGTGTGACACAGCCTACGGACGCAAGGAGAGGAATGGTCGTGGAGTGGCGATGATGGAAGCTAAGAGCCTAGAACCAGAAAGGACTAAAGCTTAGGACCAGACTGGTTTTGGACCCCAAGGACTAGGTCCTGTAATGTGATGCTAGAGGCGTGGTGGTGCCTGTTGTGAAGGAGCCATTCATTCAAGATTCTTGCCTCACGATTGGAAACCTTGAATCTGGATTCTTCCAGATTTGAATATTGATGCCTCGAAATATGGCTAAATGCCATGGTTTGGTGCATTTCTGAGGTCCCAGGGACGCAGAGCTCGTCGAAAGGATCAGAATAGGCTTTGAAACGGGCAATTTTGGGCCCGTTTAGGCAATCCGGATTTGATTCTAGCACGGGTTTCACTGAGAAACATCCGGAATTTCACTGAGCTTCCGGATGATTACCCGTTTATCGTGAGCCCAAGAACTAATCTCAAGCACAACCAGTGCCGTTGTGCTCCGGGCAGCACAGATCTGCTCCAGGAGGAACAGTTGTACTTCGGGCAGCACATCTTTGCTCCGCCGCTTCCCCTCGCTTTGCTGGCCGTCGCGTTCCGCTCTATTCCCTCTGCGCCCAGCCCCGCTCTTCTCCCCTCTCCGCTCACCTCTGCGATTTGCGCATCGCCAGAGCACTGTTCCGCGGACACTTTTCATTCCGCGGGCGCCCATCCCGTAGCATCACATGACAGTACAGAAATTCCTACGATCGGACGACTCAGGCAGTTTCTCGCCCTTTATGGAGGTCGCAATGTGCGTCCGGGATTTTCCGTATGAACGGGCGGGTCACGTGACGAAACAGGCACTGTAACGTTATCGACGCAGAAGGACAAAGGGTTTTTAGGTTAGCGGTAACCCTTACTGGAGTTTTACTCTTTTGAGTAACATTTAGCCCTTTCACGGAAGGGTTTCTCATTGTTCCAACCCTCCCGGGCCAGTTTTTTGTTCTTTGAGGTTAGTTCGCACCACAGAAGACCACGCGTCACAATCTCCTTGCTCCGTCACTTTGGGGCTACTGAACTCTGTTTTCCTGCGATATTGTGGGATCTGTAGTGCTACTGAAAATGGCTGACAACATTCGGGCAGGCTAGCTGGCAAGAAAAAAACTAAAACCCATAGGGGCGAGTATGCCATTCTGGTGGGCATCAACCCTAAATTCGTGGCCCTTTTGCGAGTTTAGGGTTGATGCCATCCAGAATGCCATGCCAGGCCCATAAGGGTTTTATTGTTTCTGCCCTCTGCCCAAGATGAAGGAGATTGTTACACGTGGTTCGCTGTGGAGAGAACTAACCTCGAAGAACAAAAAACTGTCCCTGGGGGGTTTGATCGGCGAGAAACCCTTCCGTAATAGGGGCTAAACGTGATCCCAAAGAGTAAAACGCTAGTAAGGGTTACCGGTAATCTAAAAACCCAAGGACAAAACAAAATGAGATACAGTACCCCATTGGACAGCCCGTCAGTTGGGTTTCTCAGCTGTACTCTGGCTGAAACTTTTCACATTCACTTCCAGGCAAACCAGCAGCATTACTCTTTGGCCCCTTCTGGCTCGACCAGACCAGACCAGACCAGACCAGTGCGAATCCAGATCCACCGCATACAGTTCAGAGCACGAGCTTGTACAGTTCACCGTTCATCATTCTTGGGCATCATCTCACGGTTCAGCATCAGACCGAAGGGCTAATGTTTCAAGGGCTACTGCCCTGCCCTGAATTCGGGTCGGATATAAGGAATTTATAAGGACAGCCCGTACATTTCAGAGTTGATCTTTTGAAACTCTTGAGACTAAGGGTCGAGCCTAGATGAGCCCTCCAGATTATGAGTGATGGCTCTGGTACCGTGAGTGCACTAGTAGTGAAGTAGCAATGGGATGTAGGAGCAGCCTCTCCTGCCTCACCTCCACCCTCCTCCCAGGCGTTCCCCCTCAAGCGTTCCCTCATAGGCCTCCCACCCATCCGCTAGTAGGGTGTGGAATCTATCTTTCACCTACCAATCGCATTTCCTATAGCGAATAGCGTATTCCTCCAGCGAGTCTAGGTCGAGAAAATTCAGCTGCCCCTACACCTCTAAAGGTGGGGCTCATCCGAACTCGGGAAATTAAGGGACTGAATCCGATGAACCCGAATTTCCAAGGGTGACCTAAAACCAGAAAGCCCTGGACCGAATATTGAAAATGTCAGAAAGCTGCAACCGTGCGACAACTCCATGATCCAAGGCGATTCCGCTTGCATCTCTAGGCACTGTTAACGTGAGTTTGTCTCAAGAGGTTGGCGTTGAAATGGCTTTAAATATTGTACAGTAGAAGGGTTGCTGATGCACTGTTATCGCCACCTTCAAATCTTGAAACGAGGTGAGAAGCCCTGCAAAAAAGACGCCCTGAAAAGTGCGCAGCAACTAATACAGTACACTTCGATGTACAGCATGATTGATTGAAACCAGCATGGCTTGTAGGTATGCACATATCATCTCAGCTCACACCGCACGCATGTTTGCCCGATGTTATGAAATATAACTCTGAGTATAGCACAGAATACTATTGGGGAACGTGCTTCCAGTATTGATGATAAAAATGAGGCCTATGACTTATATAGTGCAAGTTGATCAAGGTTGAATGTCGAGGGTTGGACGAGTCAAGGGCTCGATAGTCCCGAGGGTGACGGGGTCAAAATGTCAACTTATACATATATTGTTATGTAGAAGTTATAGGCTAGATAGGGTATGTTCTTAGTGGGTACAACCCAAACGCTATATCTTCCCTGTTCTCCCTTCTTCTATTCATTCTTTCTAGTCTTAACATGGTATCACGAGTAGGTAGGTCCACCCACCCGCTTCCGCCCCGTGCCGCCTCCTACCGGACCCTCACGCCCCTAGCTGGCCCCGTGCGCCCCTACGACCCCGTCGCGCCCCTAGCAGGCCCCGTCGCACCCTTACGGCCCCGTCGCGCCCCAACGGCCCCGTCGCGCCCCTAGCAGGCCCCGTCCCGCCCTTACGGCACGCGCCCCTACGGCCCCGTCGCGCCCCTAGCGGGCCCCGTCACGCCCCTACGGCTCCTCGCGCCCAAAGCCGGTCCCGTCGCGCCCCTAACTAGCCCCGTCGCGCCCCTACGGCCCTATCGCGCCCCTACGGCCCCGTCACGCCCCTAGCCGGCCCCGTCGCGCCTCGTACCGGCCCCTCGCGCCCCTAGTTGGCCCTTCGCACCCCTACGGCCCCTCGTGCTCCTACCGCCCCCCCCCGCGTCCCTAGCCAGCCCCACGTGCCCTTGCCGGCCCCGCTCTCCCTAGCCGGCCCCTTGTGCCCTAGCCGACCCCTTGTGCCCTAGCCGGCCCCTTGAGCCGAGCCGCCATGTCCCTGAGCCGCCGTGCCGCCGAGCCGCCGTGCCGCCGAGCCGCCGAGCCACCGTGCCGCCGTGCTCCCGAGCCGCCGTGCCGTCGAGCCGCTGTGCCGCTGTGCCGCCGAGCCGCCGTGCCGCCGAGCCGCCGCGCCGCCGAGCTACCGAGCCGCTGAGCCGCCGAGTCGCTGCGCCGCTGAGCCACTGTGCCGCTGTGCCGCTGTCACACTGTGCGATGGCGGATGCTGCTCTTCGCTTGGACGCTGAGAGGCATGCGATCGAATTCGCCGCCTGGCTTGTCGACCTCCGCCGGCACCTGACAGGTCAGCGCCAGGATGGGCACTCCCTGGCTATGCATGTTGATGGTTTGCTTCCTCGCCCCCCTGCGCCTGATCCCCTCCCTGCTGACCCTAGCACTGCTGAGAGCGAGGCTTTTGCTGCTGCTGCTGCGCTTGCTCGAGCTGTCTGGGATTCTCGCGACGCAGTAGCCCAGCTTGCCATTAGACACGCCCTCCCCCTATCTGAGCGTCCGCGCTTTACCACTGTCGCGATCGCCAAGGAATTTCTCGCTGCAGTAGTTGAGCTTTACTCCACACCTACTTCCGCCTCTGCTGGCCGCTTGATCCTACCCATGCTCTTCCCTGATCTTTCTGTTTTCCCCACGGTAGCTGACCTCGCTACTCACCTCCGTGCACTAGAGACCAGCTACCGCACTGCTAGCTCTGCCGCCCAGCTTACTGCCTTCCCCCCACCTTTCTGCGATACCCTGTACCTCATCGCCATGCGCCCGCCTGACCGCTTAGCCACTGCCCGCGACCACTTCCTTAGTCAGCACCCTGCCGACCTCACCCTGACCGCCTTTGTCACTACTCTGTCTGAGATCAAGACTCCCCAGCGCACTATCGCTCAGTCGAGCGGTGTTGCGGCAGTCCCTATCTTTCAGGGCTGTGCCCCCTCCCATTGCACGTACGCTGACGTCTCCGCCGCAGTTGCCATGACTGTGCCTGCACCTGAAAAAACAGCTGTGGCGTACCCGCAGCAGCGCCAGCGCCGGGGCTGCCGTGGCCCCAAGGGAGGACGTGGAGGTGGCGCTAGTGGTGGTGGTGGCGGGGACAGTGGTTCTAACGAAGGGGTTGGTGCTGGTGCCCAGGAGCAGCAGCAGTCGCAGCCGCCGCAGCAGCAGCAGCCGTCGCCGTAGCAGCAGCAGTAGCAGCCACAGCAGCAGGAGCAGTAGCAACAGTGGGCTCGTCTCCCGCCCAAGTGGCCAGGAGCCCCTGACGGTGGTGGTCGTAGTGGTGGCCCTCGCAGCTCGGCGTCCAACGACAGCTTCGGTGCTGTGAGCTCCCAGTACTAGCTTCAGACCGTGCCCCTGCGTGGCACGGTGTGCCGCCGCTCGCACCCCACCGCCCGCTGCTTCCGTCGCCTCGACGACCTCTTCCGTCGCGGCTTTGGTCCCGCCCCGAACCTCCCTGACTCACTCAGCCTGCTGCGCCACGGTGTGCCTGTGTTTGACTTAGACATGGATAAGATTAGTTCTCCTTTACATTCTCTGTATGCTGACGCTTCGAGTGTTTCCGGATCGTATTACTCTGTGTTCTCTAACATAGGCGTAGCACCTGTGTGTAGACCAGACTCCCCTGCTACGTCAAGCGTAGGACAGCTTGCTTTGTCTAGCCTAGGCTCTACCCTTGCTCCTCCGTCGTCGGCCACTACGGCGTCTCTGTCCAGCACTCTAGACTCCAGTGCGTCAGCCTGTTTCTTCCGCGACCACGCCGCCCTCACGCC